TTAACACTAACAAAGATGAAATTTCTTTTACAACAATCATTTTCGTATTTGAAAGAATTATTTATAACAGTGAATATAATGTTTAGTTTATTCACAAAAATATTAAATGAATATTTATCGCTGTAATTACAGAAAATAGTATATCAAATCATAATAATCATAATAAATACAAATTTTGAAACATTTTATGGATGTCAACAAACAAATAACCTCCTGAGTAAGAGGTAAGAATGTGAGTGTCAATAACTGCGACATACCTATAAAATTGAGCCTAGTTATTGACACTTATATTTTATTAATAAAGCTTTATTTAATATGATATATTGATTTTTTAGACTAAATAATAGTTCATTATTAAACAATTTATATATATTTTATTATATTTTTATACTTATATAATGATTATTTCACTGATTGAATCGTCGAACGCGCTTCCGTAATTTGCTTAGACCATAACTAAAAAATGGCTTCCGCAGTCACTCCACACTTAAAGATTTTTTTTATTAAGTTTTCTTATTTTTTATTATTGTGCTTGTCATTAATTAAGTACAGAATAAATTTATTTTAATTTTTAAAAAATTTATTAACCCACTTAAGATCTCTTTTTTGTTTTAATTCAACATAAACCTAAAATTGTCAGAAACTGGGACAATGTCAATAACTGGGTCTTTTACCTTATGCGTAAAAATAGTGTTATGGATGACACTGTAATAAATCTCAAGATTAAATGTGTACAGAAATTGATCAAGGTTGACAGCAAGAAGGCTGTCAGAAAGTCATGTAGGGTGATGTGCAGGTCTATCGAAGACTCAAAGCTTTTAATTTTATTGCCTCATAAATGTTTAAACTTTCTCTCGGAAATGTGTCAGATGGTGAAATCTTAGACTATTGTGTTTACCACAGCTACCCCCATGTGTAATGACAAATGAAGCTTGTCATCCATAATATTTAAGAAGGGACTCCTACACTTCACCTCCTTTATTTACATATTTAAGTTAATTTAGGTTGTAATTTTTTTGTTTCTGAGACAGCTCACATCATGCAGAGACAGCTCACATTATTCAAAGACAGTTTACAATGTTCAGATAGTTCCAAACAAACGGGTTCGATGTACATGTTACATTTTGTAAATTAAAGTGTACAGTAGATGCAAGTGCAATACAAAATTCAAAAGCACATTAAAGGTCTATGCGTTCTTAATCTCAATAACAAATAGCACCGCTAATTAGTTTTGATGGTGCCGCTTTATTCTGCACTACATATAGTTAGTAGCAGGATATTTTCTGATACGAGTCCTTACAAGGCTAACCCCATCCGAACACGATTACTGTCGTATATTTGCAATAAAATTTTGAAAAAAAATGCTTGTTTTTGTTTTCTTCGTACAGTGCTTAACTTCAAAAAAAAATGAAAAGTTTAGTCGTTGTCGACAATATACAAAAAATTACATTATTGCTAGTTTAGGGGCAACCCCATTAGGTACTCGGTACTATTGAAATTTTGTTGTAGCAGTACGAAAGTTTGCAGAACACACGTAAACAGTGAATATGCGCCGTAGGAATTGGAGTAATTACGCTAAGAGCAACGTAATTATTTCAAATCGAATTTCATCATAAAACAACGTTTGGAGAATAAATGCCTACAAGAATCTGTTAATTTTGTGGAATGATTTCAAAACATCGAACTTCTGAAGATGTAGAAAATTTAGCTTTTTACCTAAACTTGTTTTTCGAAAAGATATTGTGATTTTCGTGGGTTTAACAAAATTAACTTCTAAGACTGACAACGACAAAAACTACTTATTTACACTAATTATTAAAGAACTTAAAAACATTATTAAATTATTACTAAACTTAGGTTATGAATTATTATATTTATTTACACTATTGTTGATATATCACTATTCACTGCGCTATTTATTTCACTGCTATCACTGTCAATTTATTTCTGGATTCACTTCTGCAACGGTCAATTCATTTCTTTTCCTCTCGGCGATCGTTTCTTCCTTTAAATACTATTTTGTTTACTTTCTGGAACCTTCTGGAAACATCTGGATAGTTTATTTTTTCTTTGAACTGTTTAACTGCTTTCCCAGAACACAGCTACGACACACACATTTACAAATACGGCACACATGAAGAAAGGCGCCGCAGGTAGTCGGCGAATCGATAAGCCGTTCACGCACACGTGTGCCCGATCGCACATAAACATACTCGTGCTCGCTACAATATATATAGAAGTTCTATTTATTGTATTATAGTAATAAGTATAAGACTACTAGACACTACTAAACTAGAGGCTGAAATTTTACTTCATTCTGCAGTGAAGCAACGAATACAGCATCATAACTCCAATGCTCAACCTGTTATAATGCTGTTTCTTTAAACATTTTACAGCTACGTTTTAATTACAGATCTATACTTTATTTTACGATTGGAATATCAGCATTTGTGTCAATTTGTTGTTTTGCCGGTTTATTGATATATGCAACTTATTTTAATTGCGACCCTTCGGAATCCGGAAGAATAAATGCAGATGACCAATTATTTCCGTTATTTGTAATGGAAATTGTGGGACATCTTCCTGGCGTACCTGGGATGTTCGTAGCAGGTGTATGTGGTGCGGCTTTGAGGTACGATTAAATGTTTGTTTTTTTTCTTCTGGAAAATATCTTGATAGATTTATTTGCAGTTCTCTTTCAGTTATACTTAATTCCACGTCGGCTGTTGTATTGGAAGATTTTTTAAGGAGTTGCTTTAAAGTGGAGCTGAGTGAAAAACATGCCACTTTGTTCGTTAAATTCGTTGCTTTGGCATTGGGGGGCATATCATTAGGTTTTCTGTTTGTAATTGATAAGCTGGGAGGCATTTTGGCGGTAAGTTTAGCAATTGAAATAACTTCGCATTGCTTGAAGGATTATAGCGACTTTAAATGTTTATGACTAAAATATATTTGTTTGACCAATTTCATTATATTTGTAATTTGTATCGTTCTTCCCGTTTAACATTTTTCATTTGTTTTCTACTTCTGTTGTGTGTTGTTAAAGTTTATGTAAAACATAAAAATATTTTATTTGGTTTCAGATGTCTGGTGCTTTAACATCTATTGCTGCCGGAACAACTTTTGGTGTCTTTTCATTAGGTATGTTGATACCATGGGCTAATTCAAAGGGAGCTCTTGCAGGAGGAATCTCTGGCGCAATTGTATCCGGTATCATATCATTTGGGATTCAATACGTCAACGGAGCAGGATTAGTTGTTCCTCATAAAATACCTGGTTCCGTAGAAGCTTGTGAAACGATTTATGGCATCAAAATAAATAATACGATGAAGGTAATTAATTTTCATTGTTTTAACTAGCACATAATAATACTTAAGACTATTGTGACTATCACTTACATGTAGAGTTCTGTGCCATGTTTCTGAAACGCTATAGTAATGCTGTAATATTCTTAGAAGTTATTTTAAAACCAAGGATCTGTGATGAACTTCTATAAACCTTTCTTTCCGTACGTTTTCTTTATATAGTTTCAAAACTAGAAAGGGAACATATTTTTGATTCATATTTCGTAATACTTTTGGATACAGTATATGTATACAAATAAAAAAAAACTGTGTTGGGATCTGTTATAAGGGGAGAGTAAGAAAGTTTAAACCGTACAATTGTGAATTTTGAAAATGATACATACAAAAACGTTAATATTGGCATAAAATGTGACTGCGCTGACACAAACACTGAAATTTGAAAAAGAATGTAATATGTAATATTGTTCACAAAAATCAGATTTAATGGTCCACACCAAATTAATTACATTTTTGCACTTTATTCACTATGTCTGATCAGTATTCGGAAATATTTCAAAGATAATATCCGGAGCTATTGTAGAGGTGCAGAGTGCACCTCGTGATAGCACTGCAGCGTAGGAGTGTAACAACTATGCACAAAAAGTACCTCAGTTAATGAGCCGTCAATTATTGACAACACTTGCCAGGTTATCTTCGTTATCGCAAGCGTCAAGTGACGAAACAGACATACCTACTTGTGACCTTCGCAACAGCTGGTACGCAGACAAGCCAATTACACCTAATGATGATTAGTAGAAGTCTGCCGTCCGCAATTACCGTTCGATTGGCAAAGTTACTATTATTACCACAGCATACAAAAATAAATTTATTTTTAAAATATCAATCAAAAACTATGTATTCATATTGTTACATGTATGTAGGCTACCCAACATACACAGTGGCAAAGAAAACTAGGTTTCTAGAAGGCATATACTGGAACATTCTAAAAATGTTAAGTCTTTATAAATAGTTGTTACAAGATTGAGTTGAGTTAGTACGAGTCAGGGAGTTCGAAGCAATACAAATGAAGAAGAAGGAGCGAGCAAGTTACAAAGTGTTCATAGTGGCGAATTAATAACAGAACTGTTAAGTAGACAGAAAAATAGTTAAATAAAAGTAGTAAACGTAAACAAAGATGTTTAAATACGTGACATTTGGTGTCAGGTGTGGGGTCGAAGAAGACTGAATAGGATTGGAGAAGGAGAATTTTGAAGAATTCCATTGAAAAAAAGTGTTTATCAGTCAATTTTCTGGAAGTTTCCATCGGCTTCAAGAAACCCTAGCAAGTGATATATCGTTGGAAAGTTCTCGAAGAAAGAAGAAAGAATCTGACGCCATTGAAGAATTCCATTGAAGTTTCTAGAAGAAATTTCATGTCTGTTACAACCAGAGTTACCGAAGCATTAATGGCAATGATGGCAGAAATTAAAGTAGACGTGAAAACTGGACAGGAAGAACTGAAAGCAGACATGAAAACTGGACAGGAAGAACTGAAAGTAGACATGAAAATTGGACAAGAAGAAATGAAACAAAAAATGGAAGAAGTACAAGATGACGTGAAACTGGCACAAGAACAACTAAAAGCAGCGCAAGAAGAAATAAAAAAAAATTAAAAGCAGCTCAAGAAGAAATGAAAGAAGAATTAAAACCAGCTCAAGAAGAAATGAGACAGAGAATGGAAAAGGCACAAGAAGAAAGGAAAAAGGGCCAGGAAGAAATGAAGCAAGAATTAAAATTAGTTCAAGATGACATGAAAATGGGACAAGAAGAAATGAAAATAGAAATAAAAAACGTACAAGAAGCAATAAATATGAGAATGGAGGACAAGATAAATGATTTTAGAAATGAAATGGAAAGGAAAGTAGAAGAAACAAGAGAAGAAGTGAGAAAAGAAATAAAAGATGAAGTGAGAGAAGAAATTTAAACGCTAAGACTATCCTTTATTGCAAGACCTGAATATTTTGGTGCAAGGCCATTACAAATTACACCTCCCAATTTTGATGGAAAGATCTCGTGGTCTGTTTACTTGAAGCAGTTTGGAGCAGCGACAGAGTCAAATTCCTGGACTGATTCAGAGAAAACAACAGTATTAATAATTCCTTTACGGGAAGAGGCGCTGGATATATTCCAAGGAATGCCTGAGTGCTAACAGTATGACTTCCACCATCTTGGTAACCGCCTAGAAATGAGGTACGACGATAAAAACCTACAGCAGGTACATCAGACGCAACTGAAAAGCCGTAACCAAAGAAGTAACGAGACTTCAACAATTTGAGTCTGCTGTGGGGCGCCTCGAAAGATTAGCCTACCTCTCTGCCCCGTTAGAGTTCATAAACCAACTAGCAGTACAAACATTTATCGACGGAGCCAGGTACGATGAACTATTGCAAGTCCTCAGATTAGCACGCCACAAGACTCTAAGTGAAGCACTATCACATACCCTCGAGTTTCAAGCGGCGAAGCAAACTTCGAAAAGTCATATACGTATATGACAAGCAGAAATCGACGATCAGACAATTATAAAAGAAGGTGTGATGTCCCTCATCAGGAAATGCATATCGATGTCAAGAAAGCCATTGCTAGAAAAAAGGGAGAATGGAACCCAAAATGTTAGGAATTTGGAAGAATTGACCATTTTGCTCGAGACTGCAAGAACTACAGTGGTCGTCCAAAATGGTGCAATTGTAGAAGAATAGGTCATCTAAATCGAGATTGCCCCTCAAAAGAACGAAATCCAAAATGTTGGAAATGTGGAAATATTGGTTGTTATGCTTGAAATTTCAAGAATTATAGTGGTCGTCCGAAGTGCTGAAATTGTGGAAGAATTGGTCATCTAAGTCAATATTGCCCCTTAAACAATACACGATCTTTCGGCTAAAATAGAAGCAGAAATATCACGAGGGTTACAGCGACAACACGAATGTAATTTCAATATCGCGAGCATCTCTTATGCAAAGAACACATCAACGCAGATACAGTATCCCGGAGACCTTGCGTGGAAAACCATAAACATTGTTCATTTGCGAAGAAGAAGAAAGAACTGGCATCGAAACTGTTGTAAGCTAACCATCGTTCAGCCTGGGGATTCCTGGGAAGGTAAGACATTAAATCGAATTAATTGTCCCAATTATGACAGGAAAAAAGCTGGAATCTCAAATCCATCGTGGGCAGATGTAAGCCAGTTAAGTCAAACAACGAAAAGTTATTGGGCGCAGTAGATTTCCGTAAACTTGCACCACGGTGTTTTGAAGAGGATGTGGGAAAGTCCAGATAGAATCAGAAACAAACTCCAGGTGGTACCTATTTTCGAAGAAAAGAATTTCAGAAGTCTTAGAAGCAGTCTATACAATGGACATTTCGGCTAAGACTCTAGGGAAGGTACGTAAGCGATTTTATTGACCTCGAAGTAGGAACGATGTGGAAGACTGGTGCAGCAAATGCCCGACATGCGCCACCAGTAAGGGACCGAAGACAAGCAGTCGTGTGGACGATTGCAGCAGTACAACGTAGCAGCGTCATTTGAGAGAATCGCAGTTGACGTGGCAGGACCATTCCTAGTGACAGACTCCGGCAACCGATACATCTGGTGGTCATGGATTACTTTAACAAATGACCCGAAGCATATGCGATATCGAACCAAGAAGCACACACTCTTGCTGAGAAGCTTGTCAATGACTGGATTAGCCGATATGGTGTACAACTGGAATTGCATTTCGACCATGAAAGGAATGGATTTTGTTCAAGAATATCACTGAACTAATGGGCATTACTAAAACGAGGACTATGTCCTTACATCCACAGTTTGATGGAATGATTGACGATTTAACGCTACTCTCGAGGACAATTTAAAAAGCGAACAATAAACTGACTGGGACCGACACATACCACTATTTCTTCTGCCATCCATGAGACAACTGGAAGAGTACCACTCAGCATTTTATTCGGTAAGGAACTCAGGTTGCCAGCGGACATGATATTTGGTCGTCCTGGAGACTCTCCAGTACCTACAGACGAATACGTGGGCGAACTACGAGTACGATTAAAAGCCATCTATAATCCTGTACGTATGAAGCTACGATTTAATGATTTGGAGCGCTTCAGTAGTACCGGTGAACTTACTGGCTAGAGGGTCGTTGTGTCTCAGTCAGTGGTAGTGCCTGCGTCGGGAGGATTACTGCTGTCCTCATCGTCGTTAGAGATTAACTTAGTCGAGTTGGTACTAAAAAGTATGTCTAACACAATAGACTATAAGCCTATGCTAAAAGTCTAAGGGGTGAAATTACTCACTATATATTATATGTAGGATTGTGGTATCATATGAGACAAGTTTGGTTTACCTGCATACTCAGGTGTGCTGCCCAAAATTGACGGCATATCGTTGAAAGTTGTTGTCTCGTATGGTACTACTATCCTTATGGTAAGTAATCCCACTCCTCGGATTTTTAGCATGAGCTTACAGTCAGCTTACAACGTTCATCAAATCCCGGGTATACTTGAATTTAGCGTTGAAATATAATACTCGACTACTTTTTGTCGGAAGGGTAGATGATCGTGAAAATCTGTAAAGACCATGAACGGGCGGCTTCCAAGTGTCCTTTCAGAATATTTGGCCAGAAGCTCTCTGCCGTATATGCTGTATCGCTTCTGCTTGTCGTTAAGTTTTGGAGGGAAAAACCTAAACCAAGGCCGTTTATATGATTATGTATGACGCGTCCAACGAGTTGTGACTCAGGACTGAAAAAGTGGTGCGAGCTGTAATGGCGATAACTTCTATACACTGTTGGAAAGCTTCGTCGACCTCAGGTGTTCACGATAGTTTGGCCTTTTTGGGTAGGCCCTTGAACATTGGCGTGTGGAAAACAACGCCTGTAATAATTATTAATGTGAAGGAATCGACGAAGTTCCATAGTGGTAATCACCTTAGAGATATCCTTGATGGTATCGATCTTCACCATAGGTGGTTGAAGCCTTCGTATACTAGATAGATTATCCGGGGTTTTTCTGCTTTGACGCGGAGTTTGACCCCTTAGAAGGCACTCAGGAGTTGGCGCAAATTATCCAGACGTAGCTCCTGCCCTTAGGACACGACGACGATGTCATCGATGTAGCCTTCGGGAAAGGCAACTTGTTTGTTGCACCGATTACACCGCATTGCTCAGACTAGGACGTGTCAAAAAATTCAAACTCAAAAACTCCAAATGGCGTTGTTATAGCGGTCTTCCTAGCGATATGCAGCTGATAGAAGGCTGTGAGCAGGTCAATAGTCAAAATTGTCGTCCGAATGCTCTCCTGCAACAGATCTAGCTAGTCTGTGTGGACCCTTGAAAACCAGAGGACCTATGATGGTAATCGTGTGTTTTACCGGTAGTCCTAACACCTGGACGAGGCTGATGATGCGTTCAAAAACGTCCTGGTATTTCTTAAATAGCTTCACATAGTTCTGTTCCCGATAATGGTAGAGACCGAGTGGAACGATACTCCAGCCAGAGTACCATGTGATGACATGTTGATGAAACACTTGGTTTTGACATCAACCAGGTGGCCGTATTGTATTAGGAAGTCGGCGTTGTTGTTGTCTGTAGGTGGGGATTGACGTTATGTTTGCTGCATACAAGGTGAGACCGTGCAAGGGCCCAAGCGCAGCAGCAGGGATACAGCTGATCCCTTATAGATCAAGAAATTAACGTTGGCAGTGAAGTAGATTAGGTTACTGTTTACAAATAGTTAAGGATGTGGGATATTCTAGTTTTAGAGAAATGCGAACGTTAGCTCAGAATAGGAAAGAGTGGAGGTGGATATCCACCTAGGCTTAGGACTGACAATCTTACGATGAGAATGATAATGATACGAAAGCCGGTTGATAGCCAGCGGCACAGCTGAAAACGCTCCTAAATGTGAAAGAGGGTGCAACCTGACTATTCGAACAGATCTCTGGGTATCAGCTGCTGTTTGAGACGACTACCTGATGATGACGCGACGGGTTTAGGTGTACACTTGTACTGTCTGATAATATAAAAGGTATTGCTTCGCAAGTATATAGTATCCTTGTAAGCATCGTATTAAACATTCTGAAATACTACAATTAGCGACATACTGTATCTCTCTTAATATTCAGACATCTTGTTTTTAATCTATATTTTTTTTATTGTATACAGTCTCAGATACGGTACGATGACCTATCTGTAACTGAAAAAACTTCTTGAAGCGATTATATCTGTATTTTTGTAGCCTAAATGAGAACATTTGCTGCAAGTGACTTTATATATTTTTATTATTTGATATTTGTTTTAATAATTTGCTACTTCAATTAATGCAGGCAGTGAAATGCTTGTTAATTTGAATGATATTACGAAATTCGAATAAACAATACTTTCTATTCAAAACATATAAACATTGATAAATTTGGAAACTATAGAACATTAGGTACTAACTGAAATGGAGAATAGGTTTAGTTGTCGTATTTTGATAATTTGCATTTATAAGTATTTAAAATTTACCTAATTTTCAATTCTACCTTATATTTATTGTGATTTGTAGAGATACCCCGATGAATCAAACATATTTCCCTTATTTCGCCTGTCATATCACTACATTACTCCTATTGCTGTGATGACGGTCATGAGCGTAGGAACTGTTGTCAGTTTTTTAACTGGAAAGACTGACTTGCGACTTCTAGATCCTGATCTTATTAGTCCGGTGATTCATAGGTTCCTGCCTAAAAAAAGTGATGTCGCTATGAGAGCCCATTATTCCAAAGAAAACGGAGTTAAGAATGAGAAAGTCGGATTGTTCAACATGCAGCATTTCGATGAGGTGTGTATACATTTTCCTTAAATTTTCATTGATTAATTAATTAATTAACAAACCCACATTAAATCAGTATTAATCATAATGGCCAGACGTTACTTCAGTAAGTCTTATATTTTATAAATACCATAGATTTTTTAAGGCGATAAAGTGGGAAATAATTAGGAAGTGTAGGAAAGCTAAGGAACAGTGGACTGATATGAAGTGTAAAAAAGTAGGTGTAAAGTTTGAAGTAGGTAAAACGGATGAGGCTTATAATATAATTAAAAGGAATTTTAGAGAAGTAAGGTACTGCAGTAATAATATAATAAACAAGGTAGGGGTCATTTTGATAGAAAATGACAAAGACATACAGGTGGAAAGAATACTTAGGAAACCTATATGCATGCCATGAGTTATGAGGTATAGTAGAGAACGAAGATAATGTGGAGATAGATGAGCTAGGTTATCCAATAATGAGAGAAGAGTTCGATGTAGTATTAAAGAATAATAAGGCACCAGGTGTGGGTGGGATACAGACGAAAATTCCAAAACATGCAGAGCAAGAGGTTAGAGGTCGTATGTTTACGCTAGTTAGTCACATTTACGAGACGGGGAAAGTCCTAGAGGATTATAAACGGAACGTGGTAGTAACCATACCTAAAAATAGAGGCGCGGATAGGTGCGAGATATTTGGAACAATTAGCTTAACTTCCCAAGCATCAAAAATCTTAACTAGAATTATACAGAGAAGGATGAAAAAAAGGGCGGAAGAACTATTAGGGAAAGATCAATTTTGGTTTAGAAGAAATAGAGGAATGCGGGAGGCCATTCTTACTTTATGTATGTATTACAATAGAGAAAATGATTGAAAAGGGATTTGTAGATTTAGAAGTAGTGATAGTGATACTTAGTTTGTATAAACAGCAACAGTAAAGATTCACACTATCTTCGCTACTTTTTAATCTATATATAAAAGACACGATCAACATCATTAAAGACAGTATAACTGTATGAATAGAGGGGCAAAATATTAGTATGTTTAGATTTGAAGATGATATAGCAGTATTAGTATCTAGCAAAGAGGAGTTAGAGATTACTTTAAATAAAATGGAAGCGGTACTGACAAAACAGTACTGTATAAAAATACATAAAGGTAAAACAAAAAAACTGGTATGCAAGGGAAGAAAAAGTAGGGAAATAGGGAATATAAAAATAGGAGACGAACAATTAGAAGAAGTGGCTGATTTAACGTATCTAGGAAGTCAGACGGGTCAGGACCGAAATACGGCAGATGATAGCGCAGGGTTGAGTTACCTTCAATAAAAAGAAGTCACTTTCATGCTCGTAAACTGTGAATTCAGAAATTCGAAAAAGATTGTTGAATGTTTGGAGCACGGCCATGTACGGATGCGAAATGTAGACGGTGTGCGTGGCGGAATAATGAGGATACTGTGGATAGAGGAAGTCAATCAAAAATAGGCGAGATAGGTTGGTAGGACACCTTCTCGGGCATGAAATCTAGTCAGAGATATGTTAGATGCAGAAGCAGGAATTAACAGGTGTAGAGGTAGGCCTAAATTATATTACTGTTCGCAAATAGTTAAAGATGTGTTCTAGTTTTACGGAAATGCGAAAATTAGCTCAGGATAGGAAAAAGTGGTGATGCGTGTCCAATTAATCCTAGAACTAACGACCTTATGATGATATAAAATGGGTTTTCAAAATTTAAAGGTATAAAATGGAAATTTGCGATATAATCGAATTCCGTGCGGACGAAGTTGCGGGTAACAGCTAGTTGACTATAAAAAATGTTAATAATGTCAATAACGGTACTATCATTTGTTTTCTTTAGTATAATTCTTAAGCTTTTGCTGCGTCTTCTCTAACAGTAACAACAAATTCTAAGATATTGTCTATGTGAAACATATGGTAGTGATGATTTACCTTCCAGCAAAAGCTGTAAAGATTTATAAGAAATATAAAACAATGTGCGCATAAACTTACTTTTATGCGATAAATATATACTTTTCTAAGAACGAAACGAAACTAAAATTCACGTTTCTGACTACGGTTTTAAGATGGTCGCTTGAAATTAAGTAAAAGTTATACCTTTATCAGAACGTTTTTGATGTCTTATTCAATCGAAGTAATGAAATAAATTACTGTAAACAATACAGTCGACTGATAAGATTGTGCTAATAAGCATATTTCAGCTTGAATAAACTACTAAACGGCAACCACTGTAATTACCATTAAAATTTTTCATTGTGAAACATGTGTTTCGTCCTCATGTAATGTGGGTATTTCCAACGCTCATTTTCTACTTTGAATACTTCATCTTGTTTTAAATTATAGGTAACTACCGCTAAAAATAGTCTGCTGGGTGAAAAAGTGGACGAAAGTCAGGTAAGAAAAATACATAAACGAAGTATGCGTGTAAATAGGTATAGTCCAGTCAAAATAGACAAAAATAAGTCATAACTTAGCCAAAATTCGCATAGAACTGAAAATTGGCAGAGACGTTAAATACGTCATTATAAATAAAATGTCAAAAGTCCTCTTCGATCGTACTTCTGCAAAAAAATTTATTCAAGGTCAAAAGTGCAAAATTAAGGTTTTTTCCATTTTTCTCGAAAACGGTAAGTTTTATCGTGGAAATAGGTAAGACAAAAGTTGTTTCTCAACAAATCACTGATCATTAGCAATATTACCATTTTTTCAATCAATAGGATACGATCTGATCAAACTTTCTTAATGACAATAGATTAACTGGGGAAACCACGTTAAAAAAAAGTACAGCGCCAAGTACATTACCTCGTGCAAAATATGAATTTTGTAATGTTTAAAACCGCGATATCTCACGAATGGTTAGTCGTAAGTGAAAAAGTGACTGGACAATTTTTGTAGAAAATTGTATGATCTACAACTTTTGTCTGACCTATTTTGACGATAAAACTTACCGATTTCGAGAAAAATGGAAAAAACCTTAATTTTACACTTTTGACCTTGAATAAAATTTTTTGCAGAAGTACGATCGAAGGGGACTTTTAACATTTTATTTATAATGACGTATTTAACGTCTCTGCCAATTTTCAGCTCTATGCGAATTTTGGCTAAGTCAAATATCTATTTTGACTGGACTAGTATGTTACTATGATTGTCCAAATCAGCAAGCTGATATATGTTCTTTTCTTGACAAATTCAGTCATGCTAACATACACTACGACGACTTATTACCTATCAGCTATTTTTATATACACCTTGATAAATGCTAACATTCATAGATATATGTTTGTAATAAATTTTTACATCTTGTTTTATTGCTCTGATATATTGATTTTCAAAAAGTGAGAAACAAGATTTTGTTCCTACAAGCTTCCGTCATAAAAATGCGGAATCAGATGCAGAAGCAGACGTGAAAATGTATGCGGAACTTGCGTAATTGCAATACAGTAAAGGCTCTTTATTCGCGGGGTATACGTTCCATAAATATGCCGCGAATACAGAAACCGTGGATATGGAATGGTAATTAGTATGAAATCATAGGAAATACGTTTTAAGGTTCCAAAATAAAACCAATATGTATCAAAATAAAATCAATGTATTGATAAATTAATCGTTATAATCAGCATTAGGCAAGAGTGATTTTTTCTTGTTTTGAATTATGAAATTAGTGCACTCGGTTACATCTTTTATAAAAGTCGTCTCGGCACGAGCCAACAGTACTTAAAAGATGCTGATACGTTGAAAAATAACACCGAATCCGAAGCCGCTTTGGCACGTACCAACTGTACATACTCAAAAGATGCCGATATATTAAGGGGAATCAGTAGTACACGCGCCGTAGAGTAAAACATGCTTATCGGTTCTAGATATCATGAGTTTAATATTTGGAACAGAGGTTTGAAATTTTGTAGTAAGATAGATAAAGTTTTTTTCTAAAGCTTATCGAATACCATTTTTTAAGTTTTTAATTTCTATTGAAAATACGTGTCCTACAAGAAGCAACAAGTTTAAGCACTTGTAAAAGCTTTTAATGATAATATGATTGAAAACCAAAAACGTACCGAGTTAGTGTGAACCTTTGTCTGTTACTATACAAAAAATTAGATAGTATCTCGCAGCGTTAAATCACAATGTTTATAATAGAAACCCATGTTTTTGGAAAAATTCACACTAGGTCTATTGCGGTCAACTCCCTTGATAAATCCGAATCCTTTTCTGTTTACCGATTGCAACCCCGAATAATAAAATTTTTAACCGGAATACAGGAACTGGTTTGCAATTTTTTCACTCTCGAATAAGGAAAACGTGAATAAGGAACTTTACTGTACTAAAATGAGGCACATTTAATGCAAAACCCCAAGTGACAAGTGCTCTACAGCGACACACTTACCTACTCCAATGACTGATGATGTTCTTTTGTTGAAATAGTTTATTGTCTGAGTAATTTTAATATTTCTTAAAAAATTTCTTAAAGTGTTACAAGAATATCCGTTTTAGGATTCTGAAATTAATAAATTGTCGAAGAAGGAATTGAATTTTAATTATTCAATTATTAAATTGTAGGGGACACTAGCGTTAGTTTGCATAAGGGGCTTTAGGTACAAAAAGCACTCTATAATTCAAAACTACGAGGAGGCACGTTATTGTAACATTTATCAATTATTTATTAAGTGGGTACCTCCTTGTTTCGTAATAGTTACCCTCAAATTCAATTCAACTTAAATTTAACCTTTAGCACACTAAAGTAATTATAAACTAATGGCGTTTTCGGTTTATATACTCAGGATAGACACGAATACATCCAAATATTTACAAATTGTTCTATTACAATATTATCACAAATTTTGACACATTAAAACAATCATAAGCATACCAGCATACAATTGTTAATTGTTTTCAAATACGGCCGATGGGTATTGTAAACCACAACAATCAGAATCATACCAACATACCATAAACCATATGTTTCAGTGTATTATACGCTTTATTTCAAAAGAAAAGGTCTGCAAAAACCGCCCATGAAAATTGTAGGTCAGTATGACTTTTTTATTGTGGTAACGTGTATTTCAAAAATGCGTGAAAATCAGCTGGTGGTCATACATTTTTATACCCTCGTCTTGTCTTCCCACACGATCAAACACTTGTGTGGCCAACATTCGTATTAATTTTACGGCTTAAATAAAAAAAAAAAAACAAACGGTTGATTGTACGTTTAAAAAACATTAAATTGGCGTACTTTCCTGTTTCAAGATTGAAAACGGCTCATTTCTCAGATTTTTCGCAGTGGCGCCGATCCTAGAACTATATTATTTTGAATCAATAATGGAAATTATTTATTTAATATTTTTGAATCAGAATTATCTATGTATGTCTATGCATGTTAACATAAATCAAGACAAAAATACAGAAAGCGAGCGTTAATAATTTCAAAAAAAAAACCGAGTTATATTACTGATTAATAAATAATTCACGGTAACAGTTTCCATTTTCTTTTTTAAGTTATCATTGTAGGAATCAAAGCCAAGTTGAAGATAAAAAGGCAATTTAATATATAGAAAGCCTCATACATTAGAAACAAAACGTAAGTGTTGGTTATGATATTATAATGTTTTGTCTTCAACTTGACTTTGACTTACATAATTCATCGTAACGTTTATACTCATTTTGATGTCACAGGAAGCTTCAGAGAAAAAACATAAGGTGAGCGAGGAAGAAGATCAAGTGTAATGTTCATTAATTTTAAGAAACTATGATACTTCGACAATACATAAGAACAAAAGGGTTATATCGTAATTTCTTAAATATTTTCAAATATATGTGTAACAAATTATTTACTTGTGTTTTTTTTAAACGGCGTACTTTTTATTAATTTATCCTTTTGGTTACCTTTAATACTAGAAGTTAATACTGACTGGTGACGATGACGTTTTGTTGGAGGAGGGGAAAGAGGGTGCTTACATACCAATACGGGAAAGCATCCATAATCTAAACACCGTTTTTATAAATATGCATTTTTTTGGCAAAACTTTTTAATGCTTACTTTACCTGACAAACACAAAGAACCAAAAATTACTATAATTATATTAGATCACCCAACTTCATGTTTTTGGTTTTCAGTTTTTTTATTGGGAAAGAACAGAACAAGCAACAGTTCAGTTGTCCTAAGCACTTTTCGGTTACAAGGTTACCTTCTTCAGGGACTAAAGTAAACTAAACCTAAAAGGGAATTAATCCTAATTTATACTAATAGTTGTTGAGGTTCAGTGAACATGGCTCAGTGACAATAAGGTTGATGTTTAATGGACCTTGGCAACAATAACAAAAATAATTAAACTAGACTAAATAGCGGAGATCTAGGGATAGGACCGTTGTCATTGTTAAGTAAAATTTGTTTATTTTTATAAATGTATAAACTTTCAAATTATCTAGTAAACAATTATTCCTAACTTCCTTAACTAATTTAACAATACGATTATTAATATTAATATTATTTTCTTCAGTAAGAATATGTTGNTTAACTAATTTAACAATACGATTATTAATATTAATATAATTTTCTTCAGTAAGAATATGTTGGGCAATACCAGGTTTTTTTTCTCTACCAAACCGTGCATGAGCTAAATGCTCCTTAAATGTAGTTTTGATTGAGCGTCTAGTTTGTCCAATATATTTTTTACTGCAGTCATTACAGATAATTTGGTTGGCATAGTAATAAACTTGGTTTTATTAGGTTTATGTTTGGGGTGCGAAACATGGACAGTGGGCGCGGCGGAAAGGAAAAGGTTAGAAGCCTTCGAAATGTGGTGTTATAGGCGTATGATGAGGATAACGTGGGTAGAAAAGGTTAGAAATGAAGAGGTATTAGAAAGAATCGGAGAACAGAGGAGTCTATGGAAGTCAATAAAAAATAGGCGAGATAGGTTGATAAGACACCTTCTCAGGCATGAAGGTCTAGTCAGAGACATATTAGAGTTAGAAACAGGAGTTAAAAGGGTTAGATGTAGGCTTAGATTAGATTACTGTTCGCAGATGGTTAATGATGTGGGTTGTTCTAGTTTTAGGGAAATGCTAGGGAAAAGCTCAGGATAGGAAAAAGTGGAGGTACGTGTCTAACCAGTCTTAGGACTGACGACCTTATTATGATGAATGTTACAATTGTAACCATTGTCGTTCGCAATTTTCTTAATTGTACAGGGTTCCTTATGATATCTACTTTTACTAAGCTAAGCAATCTATGTACAAGAAAATTAGAACTAGCCATTTTATGTTGAACATAATGATTAGAGTCGTTGGTTATATATCTAGAGGTATTAGTGGGTTTTCTGTAGATGTCGAATTCTAAAGAATTCCCGGTTCTTATAACCAACGTATCTAAAAATAGTTACCTGCCGTCTTTTTCCATTTCAACGATAAATTTGATCGAATCTACCTTTTCTCCCCGAGGCTGTAACCAGATAATCAGCAAATCTTAGGGCCTCAGTGTCAGGCCACTCGAACCAGTCTATCTCGACACTTTCCGACTTTACCCCTAAGCCAAACGACTGTTTTAGAAGATCCTGCCACCTTCTCTTCTAAGCTGCTAACTGTGCTCATTTCTAGTTTCGCTTTTTAGCGCTAGTGCTCACCTTACTCTTCGTGGTGGGACACCAATTGTCACCCCCCCCCAACACTCCCCTCTCAACTCATGCCTCTCTTCTTCCCCAATCTTCCCAACGAACCTTTCTTTGAATTGTACAACCTTCTGGTTGGTCTCCCTAGTCGAGGAAGGGTTTTAATCGGTAGGGGCTTCGGCGAATCCGATACTAGCCCCTTTCAGGGGGTGCCTTTTGAAGATTTTCCCTCCTCGAGGAAAAAAAAAAAAAAATCATCTTCCTGGTATAGCCGAGCGGCATGACCTACAGGTTTAGACCATTGCTTAGCATTTGGAAGGACGTCGGTTCGATTCCGGATAGGTCTGCTTTGGTCCAAGTTTTTCTGTGGTTTCCTTGGATAACTTAGGAAAATGCTGGGGCAGTAATATTCCATAGATAATGTTCCATTCTCTTCTGTCTTCATTTCGTCCATCTCATCTTTCTCACCCGAACCACCACCCACCCACGATTCTTAAAAGGAAGCTAAAGAGAGCCTTTCGCCTTACCTTCTGGCGTAGTCCAGAGGGACTGCCCGCCCACCAGCATTACTGGCTGGTGAGAATGAAACACCCAAAAGTTTTTTTTTTCTGGCCATCATCGAGACAAGACGTTGGTATCTTCTTCTTCTGCCTAGCCTTCGTAGAGACAAAACGGACTTGATTGTTGCATGAGTGACTCCATTTTGTTATGGGTAATAAATATCCTCTTTTATCTGAGATAAGCTTTTTGAGATAAGTATTATTATTTTGCCTTTTACCTTTTTAATATAGTAATTTTATCGGAATATACTCGATTGTTTATACATAATTCAGTATTACTAATAACTGACTTAAGTCCTTGACTAGTCCTGATACTTTTTCCTTAAGGTTATAAAGGTTTTTTTAATTGGTTGATACTTTGCATTATTGAGCCCCTTATGTTTTTTAAATTAGGATGGTTTTAACGGATATGAGTTTATAACACTTATGTAAGATAAAGAATTCTTTAGAAGTATGTACATCTTTTGAAAGCATTCTGGATCCAAAATAGAAGAACCCGTGATTATTTAAAGCTTTGAAAATATTTCATTGTGAAGTTTTGGCTGTTGGCCTTGGTTATTCTTAGTGGACAATTTTTATTAATTCGGTTCCCTGTGTATTCTAGAACTACTTATTGAATCGTTATCATTCTGTCTGGAAGTATTCGTTTATCAGTAATGAAATTCAGCATGGAATCCTCAAGAAGACATCAACTTCAGGTAGGTATTGTTTTATGCCCAGGGACTTTGAGCTTTTATTTTAAATCAGGTAAGTCCAGGAACTCCACACTCAGAGAAAACTGCAGAACAAACTTCTACAATTGTAGAACTTTTCATTACAACTTGTAGCGAATATAGGGACAGAAACAAGTTGTAGTGAAAATTAATATAATATTGTAATTACTTTTTTTCCTACAAACTGTTTGTCTCTCTACTACAACTTTAAAGAATATGTACTGCAAATTCTTCTTAAAAATTACTTTTCATTGTAGCATATCTCTATACAATAATTAAAAAAATATATACAAAATTGTAGCATATTTGTCTACAACTGAAATGCAAATAAATATTCAATAAAAATTGCTACATTTTATCTTTATATTTTCTACAAAATTTATTTAATCTGATTACATTTTGTAATGAAATTCACGAAGTTGTTGTTGTAAATATTTCATTCAAATTGTAAGGAATTCGTCTGAGCCTCTGTCGATATTTCTCCTACAATTTACTACTACAAGTTTATAGTCAAATTTAAGTTTACCGTCAGTTAACCTTACTACAAATTTGAGTTGCATTTTCTACAAAACGACCTCTACAACGTTATAGTGATTTTTCTTACAGCATTTTTCTGAGTGCAAGCTGAGTTTTCCCGGAGCAATTCTTTTTGGCTCTTTGCCTTATCAAACTGGCGTTCAAGCTTTTGTATTTTTGAGCTATTAAGTAATATCCATTTTTTTATGCTTAACAAATAAACGAATAGTATTCGAAACTGTAATTTCGTTAAAGTATACGTATTCATATAAAGCAATAATGAGATCGGAAAGCAATGATTTAGGCGATGGTCGACATGACAACGGTCGGTGGTATGTTGGCATATGCGACGGAAGTTTTGTGGCTGTCGATGGAGGCGATAGAAAACTTGTGGCAGTAGGTGGCTCGTCGCTGGATCATCTTCTACAGGTTGGTTTAGAAAAGGTAGTCTGATAAAACAACTGATCACAAGCAAATTTGATGATGATGAGATGTTTCTTCGATACAGCGAATTATCTTGAGGCTGTAGACATTCTTATATACTACTAGCTTTTCGTAGCTTCGTTTGCAGAAATTAAAATTGTTTTTTCATAAAACCTTTTAAATCCTAATTCACCCCTACAAAGTAAATTTATGTAATGTTGCCATCTTTGATCTCAAATACAAACGGTGCAACATTTCATTTTTAAGGGTTGATTTTTAAAAATTTCCAAAACACGTATTTGCTTAATTTTAACAATGGGTATTGTTGCGTGATGTGACGATGTAAAAAAAATACTACAATCGTCGGTGTACTGCTATACCACATAGAAAAACTAGAACGACCAGTGCACTCGATGGTAAAAAAACACACACACAAAAAATAAAAATAACTATATTAAAATGCTTCAAGTGCACACTAAATTGAATGTTTATGGAGAACTCGCCTAAATATGTGTTAGGATGGTAAAATATGTTAAATATATCTAAATGTTGGCGATGATTGCAATTGATTTGTGTCAATTGATAATGTTCTATGATAATATTGATTATGTTCTATATCGATTGATTACAATGTTCTCTGTCGAATAATGATAATGTTCTATTAATGATCTTCTAAATATATAAATTGTCATCCCTACTACGAAAATGAACCAGCTGAAAACTGGTTCAAGCTGTGCAGCTACTGTTAGGGTGGTGAACCTTACCAACCATGGAAATACCGAATGGTAATGATTTCGGAACAGACAATACATCGTATACGTTTCTTTGGTACCTGCACAACAATAGTGCAGGAATTGAATATAATTTGGAAATGTTGCTGAAGGCAGATTCTTGAAATTACAAATAATAATGTTAAACTGATACAATTGATACAAATTACCCAAGAAACAAATATGCAAATGAACAAATATACCTACAACTAAGCAAAGAAATAAATATACAAATGAA